TAACTTTAGGTTTGGGGCGATTTATATCGTGTAAAAGGCTGTTATAAAAGAATTTACTATTTGTAACATCCTTCGTCCTTTGCTACACAAGTTTTGATTGTAAGTGACCTTCTCTATCGACTCTTAGGATATACGAGAAGGACACTAAGAACACACTTCTCAGTCAGGTCTTGACCCCAGGTCAGCCCGTTTGCACAGACTACATCCGGTTCTCAAAAGGCTAGTGCCTTGGATGAGCTTCCTCGGGTGCACATACAATGCCCTCCCTATTATCCTGAAAGGTACAGGAGATGTTAGCAAGCCCATTGTGCATTGCACAACTAACGGTTGCCATTGCTAAGCCGTTAACTCTAAAATCCACTACCAAATCACCATTTTGGTGGCGGAGTTTTCGATACGCTCACCTTCCCAATCACCTACGCGACTGGAGGGATCAGACTAATAATTCAATTTCAACTGTATGTCTATTGATTCTATTACCCGCCATCACCGGGATTTATTTCTCCTACAAGGCAGAATTGCTGTGTTACGGACTGGATGGTACAGGACACTAATAATATTAACACTACGTAGTAATGCAAATGTCTATAAACAGTTTCCAATTCTGTTAATCTAATGATAACATTTCCAGAAAAAATCTCTTAGTTTTAAAAATGTGAGCAACGAAGCATATACATATAAAAATCGACACGCAATAATCTACCCATGTACTTTTTCTACTCCTGGATTTTAATCTGTCAAATTTTAATTTCATTACTACACAACTACAAGGCTCTCTTTTCATAGTTCTGAACTAAAATACTATTGTCTATGACACACTCGCTAATTGAACTGAAAATTTTCATTATAGTTCTGTGCGACTATAATTGAGTTTCCGAAGAAGAAAGTCGTTGTTTTGCTAATTAAAATATCAAATATGATACTCAAATGCTCGACTGCCCCCTCATTGGTTAAAATATAAACGGTACTTGGCCAATCACGGACACTTCTATTCTATCTCTTTCGTTTTTTGATATGTAGCGTTTTTGTTTCATTACATAATTAGGTCTTAAAATCTCGTACCTATTACTTAGGCATCTCGGCATAGTCGCATGGTCTAAACACGGTTACTCAAATTACAAAACCTTTATTATGCAACGATTGCATTAAATACTATTTCACCCACTACCCAAGGTGCTAAACACAGTTTCTACAAAGAAGGAAAGTGTTCTCCCTAGTCTCCCTAGTCTTTATGAATAAATCGTCTCGTATAAAGCAAGCTTAAAGCGATTAATAAGTAACAAGTGCCATAATTAGGAACATTCTCGGATTTTATGAGAATCTAAATTAAGTTAAAAGTTTCATTATGTGACGTTGAAATTTCGCTACAAAATTAATTAGGTTGCACGCTTTAAGCTCCAATGAAGCTACAAGGTATGTAATTATATTTATTTTTTAACGACACAAGCTCAATTACTTAGAACTTTAGACCGTCTTTGTGACAAAGAAGAAGAAAAAGAAGAAGGTCTAAGATTAAGCTCACACCCGTAGAACAAGGAGATAAGTTTTATTCGTGGTAGCGACAAATGCATAGCCAAAAATGGACAGAGTTGGTGTGCGGCTATCGGCGGTGATCGGCCGTGCCGGGCAGTCTGTAAAATTACAGACCGTGAAAGGCTGCCTTGAGACGTTTAATATAAACACCGTGTTACAAATTGTTCTGCAAAATAATCAGTACTTATGATTTTCTTTTCACGATTGTACAGACTTCCGCAAGAATGATAGGAAAACTGTCAAAAGATATATTAATGCCAAATTCACAGGTGACTCGTTTGTGATGTCATATTATTGTGGGCTTCTTTTGATTGTGATTTATGTAAATTATTCTTAAATAGTCAGTGTATTATTACAGTTTCACTTTACCAATGCGCTAAAAACATTTACCAAGAAAACCAACGGCGTTGCATAAGGTATTGTACATAGTATATACACTAAGGGTAAAAACTTGGACCAATTCAAGAGGGCTATTAACATCGAGTATATAACCAGAAATAGACATGAAATGTCATTTAATTTGTTTGAAAACTATTCTGCTATATCGTTACTGTGACAACTGCGCTCCGATTGGCCAGCCCGAATTCGAAACACTTGACGGCTGTCGTCAATTGTTTCACTTCAAATCGACCAGTTAACTTGAGCTTTGCTATATTGGACGAAAATTGCAAAATTACATATGTAATATTTAATTACCGATGAAATTTGGTTCCGTTTGTTTTGTAATTAGACGCTTTGCTGTTTTTGCCCACACCACCGAATGATACACCACGCCATTGTTAAAGAGATATTATCTTTGTTACAATAAATACAGAATATTTTTGAACGTACGACATTTGACCTGTGTGTACGTCTCGTACAACACTCTCGTACGTCTCGTACACACAGGTCAGTTGTTGGCGCTGTACTATATATACTCGATGACTGCTAATCACGGTACAAGACAGTGTAGTTGGATATTTAGTACCTATTGGTACACTAAATGTCGCGACGAGTACTAAATAGCCATTTTTGTAACTAATTTGTTTTACTTTGACGAACTACGATTTATCAAATTTAATCTAATTTCTAGTGATAACAAATAAATCAAGTAAATGGCGCTTATTGCACAGATTTTTTGGACACTGCTGGCAATTTTTTTAATTATTTAAGATTAGCGCCATCTACCCATACCAGCATACGTTAGCTATCTATTGACACATCGACTGTGAATTGGCAACCGGTACTATCTCAATTTTGACAACTTTACAGGATGAAGGAAAAACATTTACACATATAGATAGCATCTGGTTTATTAAATAAAAATACGTAGTGTACATACATACATGTGTAAAAAAAAGTATTTAAAAACTACGTATTTTTATTTAATAAACCAGATGCTATATAAATACTGCAAACATTTTTTCTTCTTCTTCATGTAAAGTTGTCAAAATTGAGATGTACAGTCCATATCTGCCGTCCAGTAACTAAAACGCGGTAAGTCATAAAATATTTTTTTGAGATATCGTAAAAAACCATAACCCAGTTTTAGACATTGACATTGTTTAATGATATTTCAGCATTGCATCGTTCGGGTAAGTTCCGATAATTCAGTAATCGGAACTTACTCTAACGATGAAAAACTAATACCTAATTTCCCTGATTTAATAAAAAAAAAATAAGTAGGCAATCAAAACCAAATAGTAGGCTAGGAGGTCAGCAAGTCGATTGTACTTCTCGACCGGCAAAGGCTACAAACGTAAAGTTATCGAACGAAAGTAACGTGCCGTATCGACGAACACTGTTTTCAGCATTTGTGCTTAAAGCTAGAAAGTTAGATCGTATCTTTTCGAGTTCTTAGGTTTTCGCGATTGTTACACATAGGAAATGAAATTATTTTTCCGGATTTAAATCGCGTATATTTGTTTTTTTCAAACAAACCGACGTTTCGGGCCCTTTACAGGTCCCATGGTCACGGTTTACTGAGGTGTCAGTTTGGGATTTTCCAGTATTTCCTCTAATGAAAAATCCCATACAGACATAAGACTGCAGTACTAATTAATATGTTTTAGTTTATTCTAATTTCTATTATTAATTAATAATAAATTGAACTTAAGAAAAATTCATTCAATATAATAATTTGTAAAACTTAATGTAGCGTAAATTGGAATGTTTTCTTTGTAAAATTAAAAATAAGGTATTTAATTAATAACTATTGTAACTATAGTGAAAAAAATAGGGTGGTTTGCATCAATATTAGACATAACTGGTTGAAGACTGTACCACCTCAGTCAACCGTGACCATGGGACCTGTAAAGGGCCCGAAACGTCGGTTTGTTTGAAAAAACAAATATACGCGATTGAAATCCGGAAAAATATTTTGATTTCCTATCGTATCTTTTTTTACAGTCGTGCACCTGATGGTAAGCTACACGCCTGTCCATAACAGTTGCAGTGCCACTCAGAGCTTTAAATCGCAAAGATCTGAGGGGCACTGCGCCCGTCACCCTGAGACATAAATTGACAAGTCCCATGTGTCTGTAATTTCACCAGCACCCTTCAAAACCGGAACGCAGTAATACTGACATTACTGCTTGGCGGCAGAAATGGGTAAGGTGGCAGTACTTCCTTGGACGAACTGTTTCACAAAGAGCTCTACTGCTATTTAAAATCTAGTATCCCTTGAATGTCATCAATACAGGATCATACTTCCTTTGAATACATTTCAAGACTCTTTGCCCAGCAGTGGGTTGCATAAGTTGAGTACACACAGCCATAGATTAACTTAACATGTATAGACAAACTGCCACTTTAAAAAAAATGCAAATTGGAACATTATGTATGTGACTTAAGGCACAATTTATTAAAAAAAAATATTTGCATGTATAGTCAAGAGTCAAGCTTGACACTTTAGACTTTGGGTTGATTTTATCGCAATAGAGTTACTTGAAGGGAAGAGTTGGGTAATACCGAACCCCTAAGCAATAAAGCCTATAATTAAGTTCAGTCAAACTACATTGCCGAAATGATTTTGCAGATCTATTCTACAATACTGTAACCTTTTAAATATGTTAAAACAATTACTTAAGATCTCCTCTTACCGAAAGTACCCGTAAAATTATATTGAATAAGCGTGAACTCTTACTTTGAATGATCGCTCATAATGAAGTGATAACGTCCATGCGGGGAGTAAATACGGGTACTGGGGCACTGTAAACTCTGTAGTTATTTTGATAAGATGCGTGTAATTATCCGCCGCGCATTATTATCCAACTCTCCCCTACATTTGACGTTAAATAAAAAAACAAGGTACTTCTAAGTACACGTATAATATGTAAGGTTTATTAAACTTTTAAAATGCAGAAATTACAAATCGGCCAAACCTCGCTTGTTGTTTAATTAAACGAAAAAAATAATGAACGTACTCTACAATTTTAACATTGTCTAATATTAAACAGGACAACATAAAACTGGGAATACCTCACGGATATTCTCATTTTTAAAATTATACGGAACAACCTGATCTAATTTATCGGTGTACATATTTTTATTACAAAAATAGGTATAAGTCTCTAATACCACAATGTTGAACATGAAAAAAATACTATGAACTTTGATGAAATTGGTAAGACCACGAGCACGTCAAGCTTTTTATTAAAACTTAAATCCAACTCTGTGTCGCTTACGGTAAGAACGATCAAAGTACAAAGTGTCAAGCTTGATGTGCTCCTGAATGTACCTAGTCGGTGTGCAAAATGTAATGTTTTGTTTAAATACAAGAAGTGCAAAAGTTATGTTATATTAACGTTTAATATGTCCCCTTCGGTATAATAAGGTCATATCAGCAAAATGACAACTTTTCAGAGCCCCAAATCTGCTAATTTTAAATCTTCTCAGTTGCGCATAGTTAGAGTATCAATGGCAGCATTTTGTATGCTTACTATTTGCTAAAAGTTAAGGCGTATCACCGGAGGAGAAGCGGGAAAAACTGTTTTGCTGTTTACCACTTTTTTTACTACTGTTGGTTTAGGTATTTACCATTAAATAATAGTATTACAAGTAATATACTATTTACCTAAGGATATTGTTTAAATAATGTACTAATTTGTTGCGATATAATGTACTTTCCCCGATCAAATAACATCCTGAAAATAGGCTAAAATAAAGGACTAAAACGAATCATTATTCCTGAAATATCTAACTTTGTTGCAAATAGGTAATGTTTATATGAAGATGTTTCTTTTTAAATACTACAGAGAAGCTGATAAATTTTGGTTTTGACTTGAAATTTGCCCAGCGGTTTAACGAAAGAAATATTTTTGACTAAGGGCCAAATTTGTTTTGTCCAGAATAAGCTCACAAAAAATTTGTCTCATTTTCAGTTAAGTACATGTGTTTTAATTCTAATAATATTCTAACGATGGTTTTATTGACGTGTACAGAATAAAATTTTACATTCAGCGATAGCATAATCTTGAATTTCACATATTTTGACTTACAATACTGTTGTAACTCTACAATAATATTATTATTAGGAATACAGACAATACTGTACAAAACAGTGCGATATAACATGTGGCCTTATTATACCATGGGTACGGTATCATGATGATGAGATTAATGTACATATCGCCGTCATTTACTTCTACATGTTTATAGCTTACTAAATAAAGGCACTACACTTCCCAAATTGTCAGCATAATAATCAGGTCTTATTACAGTGTTAGCTATCATATCTTCTTTTTTGTGAGAAGTAAGAACTAGTAAAGTCTTGAACCCAGTCTCTTTCCCTAAGGCAACGTCTTGCTCAATCCTGAAACATAAAATGTATGAAATAATTTTATTTGTTATATCCATTCCACTGTCCTAACTTATTTTAACCGATTTAAAAAAGGAGGAGGTTCGTAATTCGACTGCATTTTTTTTGTGTACGCGTTACTCTGACATTTGCGAACCGATTTCAATGATTCATTTATTATTGGAAAGGGGGTATCTTAGTACCTAATTTGAAGATGATATTCTTCTGGAAGCGTAGCAAATTAGGGGATGAATGCGATTTATTTTATATCGGTATATTTCACCCACTTTACGTTAACCGATTTCAATAAAACTTAGCATATAGTTGTAACTCTATAAACTTTTGAAATCGGTTTCTTTTATAAAAAGTTACTGTCAAATGTTTTTTGTTACCTAGGTGCGACGAAACCCGAAAGGAAGACGAAATTTCATGATAAGAAAATAAAAATCAACTTTGTATATTTCTCAGTCAATACATTACATGTTGCATTGCCTTACAAATTTATTCATTGGTTTACAAATCCAACATTAGTCTCATGTGAAGAAATAGCAGCGAAAAATTCAGGATAATGGTGTCTCCTGTTTATGGTTTGTTTTTTATGCTTGGTGGTAAGCGACACGCCTATCCATAACTGATGCCGTGCCACTCAGAGCTTTAAATCTCAAAGCTCTGGCACCGCCCAAGACCCAAGCATGTCCTGTAGGTTGTAGTGTAGCCTTGAGAGCCCTGATTACGTCCTTGTAAAAATTTATCATTAACTTTCTTGATGTACTAGTAATGCTCACGTTACTGCTTGGCAGAAATAAATAAGATGCCAATGCCTCAATAGACAAACTCTTTCACAATGAGCTCTACTGCTACTAAACTACTGGTAAATAACAGATTTCAGCTTTCATAGCGTAAGACAATATTCGAACTGTTTATTCTCATAGAGATGTCAATTTATACTTACATATCACCAATAAACAATACTCTGGCTGGGTCAGTGACTCCTGCTCGCTTCATGGCAAACTCCCCGAACAGTTTGCCTGGTTTCCCAAGTTGAATGGGCTGCCGATTCAAATAATCCACCAAAATATCGGTGAACATACCCACACCTGAAACAGATAGGGGTAAAGTTAGAAAAACAGGTATTAATAAATCTTACAATACATAATATAGGTATTATTAATAGTAATACTACGAGATCAGTTTTTATGGTCTTCAAATATAAAAAAGGACCAGATTTTGTACCTGATGTGTGTCTGAATGGTAGTAGGTTGGTGAGGGTGGATACATTCCATAATCTTGGTTACATAGTTACTGAAAGTCTTAGTGATTATAATGGTATTAAGCGAGAAAGGAAGGCATTGGCAATGCGTGGTAATATATTGGCCAGGAGATTTCCGTCCAGATCAAATTAAACACACTTTAAGTCTGTCTGTACTGTCAGACACTATATACGTGTAGTTTGTGGGTTAACTGTACTAAACAAGCGTACAATGCCACCCGAGTTCAGTATAATGATGTATTTAGAGTTATGTTTAAATTGCCAAGATACTGTAGGGCATCTGAAATGTTAGCACTTACGGACGGGTTTGCTGCTGCGCTTGGAAAGAGGGTTTCTTCTCTTAGACAGAGAGCGCTAGATGGTACAAATTACAGCATTATAGCTGCTATAGCTCGTAGTCGCTACTCGTCCATACTGAATTGAATTTCAATTATTAATAATTAAGTACTTATATGTATTACAATTATAATATTTATTTATGAATATAAACATTATAACTATATTATATTTATAAAATTATAATATTTCTTGTATGAAAGGAGTTATATCTAATATATAATATTTGATTTAATTCTAATTTAACATTTTTGTAATTCTGTGGATTTGTTATGTCTGAAATAAATGCTTATTATTTTTGTTATTTGCTTTATTCTTCTCGGCTTGTTAGCTGGTTTGAAACGCATTTACGGACCGCAGTGAAGTAAATGCAGTATGGCGTGTATCTACGAGTATGTGGTGGGTCTGCAATAAGATCCTACTTCGTCCTCTTCCATCTGCATGAACTTTCTGACGATGCGGCATGTATTTAAAATTACAGCTTTTTGCAAGGTTATGTAGAGGCTTTCTTTACACTCTAATAATTTAAGGCTATGGAAAAGATGATTAGGAATAATGCCTGTTGTGGAAAGAACAATTGGGATAACATATACCTTTTCTTGTCACCAAATTCTAGACACTTCATTCTTTAGATCTGCGTACTTACTTATTTTTTTTCATTTATAGTCTTCTGTATGTTATGTGTGTTGAGAACTGCAATGTCTTTTATTATTATTATATCTATTTTAGACTATCGCCTCTCCTAAAGTCTAAAGCATTCATTTTGAATTTTTAAATGGGAGAGGCGGTATATTCCGGCAATGACACAGTCGGCCGGGGTCAGGGATTATTAAAGAAATACTAATGAAGCAAACGCGGGTAGTTGTTCGCTGCCACCTCCGCCCGCAACCATACTGAGTGACTGGGCTGTCAGGGCTTTGGCGCGCAGTTTCCATCGAGTCACCGTCGCGGAAGCTCATGTTTGAGAACCATGGACTGGTTCCAAGCATGTCGAGCAAAACTTCGACTTATATACGGAGTCATTCGTTACTTTAGTTAATATGTTTGAGTCTCACGGTGATTTTTTATTTAAAATTAAAGAAATAATTAATACAATACATGTTGAAGCGTTGAAGAAGCTGGTCCGAATCCAGCCGGATCAAAGAAATTTTTCTTTGTGTTCGATCCTTGTATTAATAATTATAACAAACAAGTGGAGTAATTTCACAGAAAAGTAATTGAATATCAAAGTAGTACAACATAGCAGCAATAGAGCTCCCTGTGAAAGAGTTGATCCAGGGAAGTACTGCCACTCAACCTATGGGAGCATCACTGCGTTCCGGTTTGAAGGGTAAGGGTGCTGGTGAAATTACAGACACATGAGACTTGTTAACTTATGTCTCAGGGTAACGGGCGCAGTGGCAGTGCACCAGATCTTTGGGACTTAAAACTCTGAGTGGCACTGCAATTATTTTAGGACAGGCGTGTAGCTTATTATAAGGCGCACGACTTGTTCGTCCCGTCACTTGATATGATAAAAAAAACTTCCTATTTAAAAAAGGTCTTGGAATCAAGTTATGTTTGCAAAAATTCTTGGAAATGAACTTGTTTACAAAATACTAAAACCTCTGACAAAATCTGTTTCCTTAGCAAACAGACAACATTAAGTAAAAAACATTTCTTTTTCTTGTCAGCTTGAGTACTAAACAGAGAGTAAAAGAAATGGGTAAACATATTCGGATGGTTACCTTTTACACTAGCTGGCTTCTAAGGAAAATAAAACCTTAGGAAGAAATATAATCCCTGAAAACAATTACGCAAAGCCGCGTAGCCGGCTTCAAAGGTATTCCCAATTAGTGCCATCCACAAAGAACACTTCGGCTATTGCTGCTAAATGATCTCTTTGTACTGTTCCTTTGAAGTCTATGTCAAACACCATTCCTTATTTTGCTGGTTTTTATCTTTTAGATGGAGTTAAGAATGTGTCAGTGCGTTTTAAGTTTATTTTTGTAAGGACAAAGGGTATAAGATTGTGAATTTGGTCTACCTACCAATTAACAATTTACGATTAAAGGGTCTTTTGACAATCCAATGATCGTACGTCCGCCAAAGAGTAAGCTTTGTTTATATTATAAATAAAAAACAAGTAACAAAATTTATGGTCTTATGTGGAGAATTTTAGACACAAACACGAAACTACGACAATTACTGCTATTCAAATGCTAACAGTACTGTATTATCTAATTCGGACGGTTGAAAGTCAATTTTTTTTCAATTTACATATGTACTTGTTTTGTTATTTTTTTTGTTTTTCTAACTCTACTGTGTCTTATTTTACTTCTGTAGCAACTTCCTACCTACCTAAAGCCATTAGTCCTCGTTGCAACGGCACCACTCTGTCAGTCGCTCCGTTAATAAATTCCACTTCAGGTCTTTTTAAATACGTCGAAGCTTTATACAATTTTGGTAGGTTTATTTTGAAGTCACTGTCAAATACCACTGCCCCTATTTCTTCATCCTGTGCTAAGTACTCTACGAAGTCAGTGTACTGATCTGCCCCCACATCAGGCTGAAAAAATAATTAGTTTGATAAATCCCAAGTCAGATGAACAACAGACCTGTGAATGTTGGTTGGGAATGGCTGGTTGCAGGATGTACGGGATGTAAAGTCATGATTGTTTATATAAATTTTTTTAGAACAAAATAAACGCTGGAGGCATTAATCTGTCCTCATCAGATCTCATGGTCAATTTCCATCTCACCTGATGGAAAGTGACGATAAAGTCGACGATGGAGCGTGCATATCTATGTAATAAATATCCATCTTTATAATAAATATCCATCTTTGTCTTAAAAACACCTACATTGTAGCGTTCCAGGATAAAATTGTCAGGCAGGGAATTGCACTTCATAGTCTGCACTGTGCTGTCGCAGTCTATGCCATCACAATGGTAATGATCTTAGATATGATTCATCACTCTGTGCGCAAGAGTGTACTAAATTTGTTCCTTGAGCCTCAACCACACATCTAAAAATATCACGTTAAGTTTTACTAGAAAGACGCCAATCATGCCCCGATAAGATCTACGCGTTTCAATGAACTCTAGTAATAAGACAAGTATGATAACTCTATACAAACGTAGCAGAGTATCTCGTATGTGTGGACGCCCACCACGTGCCTTGTACAAACGCACACATTCACATCACGCGATTCACTCGCGTTGATTAATTATAGAATTGAAGCTATCGCTCGGTATTTCAAAAATGAGATCAAATAGTAAAACATGCTTACTGTTATGTTTGTAATAGTTTGAACAAGAGTGCCTTAAATTCAGAATTGTTCAGCATTTTATTTCTATTTCCTGATCATACTGTATAATCAAGATACCAATCCGCGATGCTGGTATAAAGGTAAATATATCAATATGTAAGTACCTACTGCATTTAACCAAGGTTATTTCAATATAGCATGAGAATACTGTGATGAACAATAACAATAATTTGAATCCGTCTTGCCCTTTCCATCATCGGGGGATTAGACGTGGGCTGGGGTTCCTCATAGGGATCTATGTTGTGGATATTCCCAGGATTCGCTTCCACATTTATATGGCAAGCGGCTAGAGAGTGGAATTCACTGCTCGCGGATTTGTTCCCCGATACTATAATTTGGACCTTTTCAAGACGAGAGTGAATAGGCATTATTTTTGTGTGCATGCTACGTCATCGACTTCATCGTCACTTTCCATCAGGTGAGATGGAGGTCAAATGCGCATTTATTTTTATACAGTATGTTGATTTGCATTCTCGCCATCTTAAGAAATTAATAATATAAATAATACTAAATCATCAAAAAATATATTCTGTCCAATATTCTGACGAATTGTATCTAGTATAGTTTTACTACATTGTCTTTAAATCGTATGCACCGCGTCCGGACAGTGACCCCGGCGGGGCCCGAGCGCTGCTGAGAGCAGTCTCACTTATTTTTTATAAAAATCTTTAGATTTTCAACCTTAATTTTTTCAAATTATATTTACAACCTATGTAGTTATATAATAATGATATAAATATGTAACAATCCTATGCACCGAGGGAAGTGTAGGCATTTACGCGCCCTTCAGGGGGGAGTACTGCTCTTATTGCCAGCACGCCTGTTACCTACATTATAATTATTTCCATCTTTTCGGGAACGGCCTAAATTCGCCTTTGTTCATATTAGGTTAGGACCAAGACACGAAGTCTAAACTTAATAGAATTTACAACTAACTCACACGTAGGCACCAATTTATACCCCTTCGTAAGGCTATAAAAATTCCTATTCAAACATAAAACACACGCGCAGCATATCGTGCTTATGGTGTCGTCATGAAATTTTGCAGCATTAAGCAGCCAAATATTCATTTCAGCGTCAAAAAAATAAATCACCTTGAGGTATAAATGACTAAAACGTGACTTTCATACATATGTGCTTCAGCATGTGATTCATTGTATTTTATTTAAACATGTCTTTCGAACTGTTATTGAAAAGCCAATTTTTATTAGAACTTTGTCAACTTTTGGTTAAAACTTGTTGATTTCGCGAGTCATAAAATATCGATGATTCAAAAAGCAGTTAATAATTTTCTGCTTTTATCATAAACAAAACAAGGTCATTTGAGATCAGAGATGGTAACTGTAGCGGGTAGCGTTGGCTGGTTTGTTTTATATTTAGAATTGTATAAAAATAAGAAGGTTGTTGTCAAATGAACATCTGGAGAATTCTGGACAAATCTTCAAGCCGAACACTCACAGTAAATTTTATAACTATGATAAGATTCCTAGTTTATTATTAAAAAGTGCCTCTCTTTACGCTACAGCCACGGCAACGCTCCCACAGTACCAACCATCCGGGTTTTAGCCCGGTTTGGTAACGCCAGGTTTATATCGGGTTCAAATTCATTAACGCCCGAAATCACTAAACTGTCACAACTAATATCTGTTTTAAATTGAGTTTTATTCAAATTTAATGATGCTATTATGAAATGTTTATAGCTTACTGATCTACAAGACATTGATTTGCCTTTAGCATTGAAATAAATCGATACAAAAAATCGTTATATCGTATGCACCTGAATCAATTTTCATAAAAATCGAATCGTAATGTGCATCCCTAGTAGTAAGTGAATGTCCATAGGGTTGCAAAGTGGGCATTACGTGGAGTTGCCTGTTTTTGATCTAAAAAGATTTTTACATCGAATTTATAAGTATGGAATTATACCAATCCTATATTCACCACTTCCGAAATGGATTAAAACCGGCGCTATGTGTAAAAACCTTTGGTGGGTTTTTAAACCACTGCCCATCTCTGTTTGAGACATTAATACAAGCTGTTATCTAATACAAAGCTGAGATACTTCTACCTATTGATAATCGCTTTCTACGACATTTTTAAATTTGGGAAATATAATAAATGAAAAATTAATAGAACCAGTATTATTAGGTGGCAAAAGACATCGAGACCGACAAAGGTATTCTACCTCGCAGTATGAAACACGAGAAAAAGCTCTCACCCCATATTTACATTTAAAACCATTGGATTCCAAAACGTTCATTGTTTCGGAACAAGTCACGCAGTACGCCGTCTTCTTGAAGTCCTTTGATTTGAGATATTCAACGATGGCTGTCGAGGGAATCGTTAGATTTTCCTGGAAATATTTTTAACAAGTTTTATATAGAACATATTGGTAAAATGTCTTCAGAACGAACCAATTTTATTATTGTACCCGTGTATCGTAGGCAATATTGGAAAGTCAGATATTCATTCCTTCTCCAAAATACCCAAAAATGTATTGAATATTATTTTTTCACCAATTAACATAATATACTATGTTTCGTAGCAATAGACCTACTTTTCAGAAGAGTTTGTCCAGGGAAGTACTAGTTTGAAGGGTAAGTAAGGGTGCTGGTGAAATTACAACCACTTGGAACTTTCAATTTATAATCTCAGGGTGCAGTGGCAGTGCTTACAGTTACGTCTTTGTGATTTTAAAAGCTTTGAGTCGGACTGACAGACGTGTCGCTTACAACCAGGTGTACAACTTGTTCGCTCAGTCACTAGGTGGAATAAAAATAAATTTGGCTCAAAGAATGAAAATCGTTTGTAGAGCAAAAATATCCACTACGCGTTGTGGCCTTTTAAATACACGTTATTCGCGTTACGGCCCCTTTTAAAGTAGCCAGAATGTGTTGTGGCTAACTCAAAAAGACCACAAGTTACACGTGACCACGACGCGTTATGGTTATGTAACTTGAAAACAGGAGCGTTGCAAATACTCGTCGAGTTTATGGTCATTCTTAAATGCCTCTACTGTACATGTAGACAATAAACGTCCATAACGCATTATGGCTTCTTTAAAATATCGATAACACGTTGTTCCTGAATCCAGAATGCTATGATGGCTAAGTTAAAAAGACCACAAGTTCCTTAATGACCACTACGCGTTATGGTAAATTGCCAATGGGAGCACTGCAAACATCCGTCGAGTTTGTGGTCATTCTCAAATGTCATTTCCGAATGTAAACGGCATATTTTATGACAAACGAAGTAAGTTGAATAATTTTATTAACAATTTATAAAAAATAAAGTTTAAAGAAACGATAGAACAGAATGGAAATAAATTTTATTGTATACTAAAGAAACAAAGACAATAAAGACAATCTATTAATGTTGCACAAAAACAGACCAGATATTATATTACTTTATACGTCCCACTACTGGCTACGGATCTCCTCTCAGGCGAGGGTTTAGACCATAGTCCGCCACTACGGCGAGTTGGGGCCTTCACACGTTTTCCGAGGGTTGTCAACCTTCTTCGATGTGCTGGTTTCATCCCAATGTATTCCTTCACCTAAAGGCTCGTAGTAAATGTCATATTAAATTTCGCACATAAATTCCGCAAAACTCTCAGGTGCGAGCCGGTAGAGACTAGAGAGTTACACGGCTAGAGAGGCGGTAGGTCAGACCGTTAGGTTACCACAGCTTTCCAATAAATGGAGAAAAAAACATAAATAGCAAATTTGTTTTATATTTGTTTTATGTCCAATTAACCCGAAAAACTATAACAAAGACAAATAGCAATCGTTTCTCATAACACCACCACCACTACCACCTGCCTACTTAAACAATACGAACAAAAATTGTTTACACATATTTCGCATTTCCTAGGAAACATCTATTACGTTTATGGAGAATATTCCTTATTTACTCTTCTTCGTTGGTTACGTATTACAGTGATTTCGTTTATTTGTTGCTCATTATTTTCATTCATTGTGCTACAGATTTTATTATTGCAGAATATATTTCCGACAATGATATTTTCAATTTATAGACATGGTATCAAATATTTCTAGTCTCATTGGTGAGTAAATTGTTTTATTTTCCTGATATTTCGGTACGGTTACACGCAACATGGTCATGGGTCGATCCTCAATCAACCTGTCATTGAATCCGTGACCATGGAGCATGTATGTGTCTTTCCGAAATATCGGAAAAATAAAAAATAAAAACATACCGTGCTAAGCTGTAATTAGTGATAACCATTTAATGATTTCTTTTATAATATCAAGTGACGGAACGAACAAGTCGTGCGCCTGATGGTAAGCTACATGCCTGTCCATAACAGTTGGAATGCCATTCATAGCTTTAAATCGCAAAGATCTGAGGGGCACTGCCACTGTGCCCGTCACCCTGAGACATAAATTGACAAATACCATGTGTCTGTACTATCATCAGCACCCTTACCCTTCAAAATCAAATCAAAATTATTAACGAAATAAACAATTTTCTTTCTTTCTCCCCGTAAGACGTACTATTCAGATTCCCTGTACGTATGGCGCACTCTGGACAATAATCAGCGAGAACTTTACACCGATTGTATCCCATAGTTGTGGCCTGCAAGTCTATGTCAGCCACAGAACAATAAATACAGTAGAAGTGCTTAGAACCCGTGGTACGTGTGCCAATAGTACGACTTGAGTTTAGTCCAGTATTTTCGGTTTGTACATTATGGTCGTGTCAATTAACTCTCGCAACCTTGAAAATCGTAGAAAAATGCCTTATTTTCCTACTTTGAAGTTCAAATATGATAATTGGATTTGTAATATTATCCATGGTGTTGTTACATATTATGGGTAAGTTTTATTTTATTTAATTTTAATAAATTTCCTGTTTTTTGTTTATCGTATTTTTTTTGTTATAAGAAACGAAAGTAAACTTTATACCGCTGCAATATGGTCGCTTTTTTGCTGGAAAACTAAGTAAGCATCTCGAATTTGCCGATGTTCAGCTGGTGACCACTAGATGGCAGCACACTGATTGAAATTTCAATATAAAAATGAAACGTTGTAACTTGCAAAAATAGGTTTTGAACTTTCAACGATATGTCAACAAGGTAAATTTAAAATTATATTAAGAGTCCACAAATTGTTAATTCTTCTGAAGAATTTGAATTTAAATTAGAAAAATTAAAAATTATAAACGACGACCAATCATTATCAAGATTTCATATTGTTTCAAACTAGTGGTTATGATAGTAATCGAAGCTTAAGGCATTTCCATTGTTTTTTTCTTCCATGATGCTACCGATACGATAAGAAGAAGACTAGTTTCCAGACTTTACAAAAAACTTGGACATAGTTAAACTGTGGTTCCATTTTTATCATCATCATTATTAGCTTATCGCAGTCCAATGCGGCTCTAAGCCTCCCAATATGCGCCATTTCGCCTGGTTCTTTGACTGTACACAGTCTTTCTCAGATTGTCACTCTCGTTCCAGAGAGCCTCCTATACTACATTTGCCGAGCAGCGGTCTCCACTCCAGAGCTCATTTCCCCCATCAGTTATCGTTGTCACTTATACTACCAGCTATTGACGACTTTGGTTTTCTGTCGGATAACTTCATTTCGAAACTAATCCTTCAGAGACTCTTTGCATAGTTGGTTTTTATATAGTTACATCAAATGTATTCGTAGATCATCTCAATAATACACAGTGACATAATTTTTATTTACACTCAATAGGGTGAAGCCACTACTTAACAAAATGCTATAGCTCGCAAGATGTTTTCGATGTAGTAGAAAAACATCCTCCGGGAAAAACAAGGTGAATGCGTGCGGAGGAAATTATGGCGAACAACACATGGGGTAGCAAGTTTTCTGGTGTTTACCTAAGTCGCGGTTTTCTCTCGATATGTAAATAATGATACCATGGTAAGCAAGTTGATCAAAGGTACGTGTAAAACATTCTTCCTATCATATCGACGGCATACATTATGATGCTTGCTGTCGTGGTGAAAGAATTAGCCAATCACCATAAGATGCTCGCCAATTGTTGCCCAAACGTACAGGAAAGGACGTACAGTTCTACGTCGTACAGGAAGACTTTATACCACCACTACATTTACATTATAACACCATAAAATGTGTAAAACTTTGGTGTCTTAATATTTATTGTCACAGTTTTTTGTACGATGTACCTGATCAGATCAGCAAGTCGATTCCGTACTCATACTTCTTCGCAACGTTACGCGATTTAAATGATTTGTAATTAAGGATCTATATTTTAATATAATCAATGTACTTTCTATTTCATCAATTGCGCTCTGTGGAAAATTACGTGGAATAGACTATGTTATTTGCGAAACTGTATATTGCGATTATTCGCGGTAATAGTCGACATTAATTTTGTTTATTTGTTGTAGTAAACCTTATAGACTACGGTAAATACCTTTGTCTAGAAAATGAATAGTACGCCTTTGTAGGTAACCCAACCGTTTTGGTAACACCATCAATTGGCTTTAATTTGCTATTAGCGTACACTTTCTGTCTGAGCTCGCAATTCCTGAACCTTCTTAAAATCCCAATTCGTGCTACGCCAGCCCCTAGAATTCCTTCCTCATTCTTCGAGTTAGGGGGAATATGCCCTACAAAGTGTAATTTGCTTAAAACACAGTCATATTTGACTAACATAAGTTTGAGTTTAATGTTTCAATATGATGGTATCAAACCACCCGGTACACGGTGTACACGGTGGTGTCAAACCAAGTCACCATGGGACCTGTAAAGGGCCCGAAACGTCGGTTCGTTTGAAAAAACAAATATACGCGATTTAAATCCGGAAAAATAATTTCATTTCCAATACACGATTTTTAAAATTTTATTGCAGTAGAATTCCTTGTGAAAGATTTCGTCCAGGAAGTACCGCCACCATACTGTGAGTATTATAGCGTTCCGGTTTAGAAGGATAAGGATGGTGGTGAAATTACAGACATATGGTATTTTTAAATTATGTCTTAGATCTTGCGATTTAAAGCTCTGGACACACACACAGCTCAGGACAGGCGTGTCGTTTACCACCAGGCGCACGAGTTGTTCCTTCCGTCACTTCATATCGTATCATAAAAAAACACTGTAACGTCAAAAACCGTATTTTGAGAAAAAGCTGCTAAAACACTTCTTATTTTTGCAATTTTTCAGGCTATTAACATGAAAAGATATATTTAACTATTACATTAGATATTAAAGAATTATATTTAGCGATTATAATTGTACGTTGCAAAATAAGTTATTTCTATTGAAAAACGAATAAATTTCTTTTGCCTTCATAACAGCCGAAAGTTTTTTATTGTAATTAAATTACAAAATGCAG